TATATTTAAAAATATTATTTATAAAAATTTTAAATATATTATATATATTTAAACATAACATTTATTTATAATATAATATATTATAAATTATGATTATATATAATAGACATTTAATCTTATACATACTAAAATACTAATTTTTTTTAAATGTTAAGACTTTGATATTTGGTTGGAGTATTTAAGTTTAAGATATTAAAACTTTAATTTTTTTATTAAAATGTGTAAACATTAGTATGTTAAAACTTTTTTTATTATTTAAAATGTTTGATTTTGTTACAAATGTTTTTTTTTTTTCTTTTCATGCTTTCATAACACTTAAAAAAATTATCTTTCAGTTTAATTTTCTTACAAAATTCTAATTTTTCACTAGATTTATGAATTTGTTTGTTTATTCGTGAATTTCTTAATAATATGTTTTGTTGATCAAACTTATCTGTTATATTAAAAATATAAATTTTAGAGATAAGACCAATTACTACTCCCATTAAAAATTTATTATATCATTATGATAAATAATAAATGTAAATTATCATATAATGTATACACTTAATGTAAAAGAATTAAATATTTTTTTTATAATATTACTCATTAATTTTTTCATTCAATCTTTCTTCATTATCAGAATGTAGTATTCAAATAATAAAGGAAACATATTAACGCGTTTCAAATATGAGACTTAATTTTGACTTATTTATTTATTATATACAATTTTTTTATTATTAAGATTTCATTTAAGTTAGATTAACATTAAATATAAAGATTATTTATTATAACAATATTTCATTAATTTTAATTAATATCGTACATATTATTCAATTTGAGTCGGTGATATTATTAGTTAAAATAAATTTTTTATTAAAATAATTTTTAAATTAGAAAAACTAAAAATGAATTTATTTTACATTTAAAAAATATAAAACACATTAAAGTCTTAGTTAAATTATAATTTTTGTCCCTATAATATTCAATCTACATTTTTTGGTTTTTTAATAATCAATTTTACAATTTTAATAATCTAATCTAAATTTATAAATTTTGTAATTATGATTCAATCACAAAATATATATTCATTAACCAATAAAATCATAATATTAATCATGATTTCATATAGTTATATGCTATAATAATTAATATTTAATAATAATTAAACTAAATTCTATTTTAATTCTATTTTTTCTTATAAAATAAAACTAGAAAAAAATGAAAATACAATAAAAATAATAACTAAAATATTATTTAATCTAAATATTAATTATTTACATAATATAAAATTATACTTAATGTTATAATTTTAATAAAAAAAACCAACATTTAATGATAAACTAAAATTATAAATGTAATGACTTGCCATGACCTTTACACCATGTGAATCATGTAACTATATAATCGACAAGATAACCATAAACTAAATAATAATGCATTTATGAATATACGAGTAAAATAAATAAAATCTTTATTTATATATAGGAACCACCCTAAAAAATATGTATATAAATATATACAGTCATCAAAAAATCATGGTAATGTCCTATTGTTGGTCAAGTCCTATAACTAATACATCCTATGTCAATATGACATTAAGACCAAAATCTCATACCTCTGTAGTGGTCACCACAATTCCAAGCTAGTCCTGACTTGCTCGCATACAATGTATGATCATCGTAATTCATCCACATGAAAACATAAAGGTAAGCTAGAGTTTAAAAAATTATCATATAAGCAAAATGATCCACATCTATGTTATACAATCATCATATCAACCAACATATTCATAAAGTCAAACAATGCACTCTATCATACAATAATCATGCAATACATGATAAATATTAATGCATATCAATCATCTAATGAGTCGTTACGCATTCACCTTAAGAGATCCCCTAACAATAGAGCAGTATAAGTGACATTTCATCCTACCGAAACCACCCCAACCATTTTCACGCCCAATGCGCCCTAACGATCATAGTAAATCGAGATATTAATCCTCACTCGGGTTTACTCGGATAATGTCACTTACACACTTGGAAGTTCGATTCTACCATCTGGAATAGTACAACTGTGTATAGGCTTACCAGTTACCACGACCTTGACATGCATTACCACGTCACTTATGGATTTTGCCCACCGCCTGTTCGCTAAAAACCACGCAACCTTCCCCAATATTTGGTTAAGAGAATAACCCTCGACCTTATACCCCACTCCAACACTAGGTAAGGACTTAGAGGAGACTCACTCAAACCAGTGGCCTATTTAAGCACCACTCTCACCCAAAATAAGTGGCCTATTTAAGCACCACTATCATCCAAACCAGTGACATATCTAAGCACCACTCTCAAAAGACTCTATGTGAGTTCTTATAATTCAAAAACATTATTCCCTCTCCTCAATTCCTAGGCTAGTCACATGCCATAAGGCATCACATGCAAATAATGCATCATACATCATACATGGTCAATCCACCACTATGATCAATATCATTCTCATATAAACATATATACATATCATATTATGTTTAAACATTCATATATATCATTACCAAGCATACATATGAATCAAGCACCAATTTGCATCATATATCATACCTATATGAACCAATTCTATAACATAGTATCATATAACTTTTTAATCCACATGATAACACCTTAGAACATTAAAATAACATGCATCTCACTTCGACAAATGTCAAAGAAAAAAACACATAGAGAGTTATACTCATCAAAATAAGCTCAAAATTATCTCAAAAGAAAGATAAGAGGATAATCTGCAATTCTTATGAAGACATGAAATTCTAAACAAATCATGTACTTAGCAAAAAAATTAAAAAATCATAACAGATATAATCAATGTTGACAGGTTGACCCTTGTTCATTAAAACAACCATAATTGGAGTTTTAGACATCCTTTTTAGGCGATTCAAACGTCATTGAAAAACTAACATCCAATGCTACAACTTTTATGTAGACAACAAAGTCTAATTCAAAAAGAACCAAACCGCTCAGCGCCTCCCAAAGCGCTTAACACTTTGATTCTAAGGATTCTCCTTAACATGCGGCCCCCAAAGGCCTCAACCCTTTAAAATGGCTTAGTCAGTTTAAAAGTACTAATCTCTTTAAAATGGCTTAGCCCTTTGGTTTTAGAGATCCCTCTTTGTCACGTGGCCCCCAAAGGACCTAGTCCTTTAAAACAACTCAATTGTTTGATGATAGAGGACATCATGTTCTTCACCATTTTTGGACATCCACACCTGAAACTCAAAAAAATTCAACATGCAAATAAAGAGATATCACCCATACACCAAAAATAGTTCAATTCAAATCCTATAAACAACATGCATGCATCCGATGCATCAAAATCAATCAAAACCTAGTTTTAGCTTGAAAACCCCGAAAACGGGAAAAACCCCTCAAATCAGCAAATTAATCTCTAATTCATGCATCAATTGAATTTTTAAACTCACATGCAACCCATCTATCACAATTTTAGCTTCCTTTACCTGAAAATTGGCTCAAAACAGCCAAGAAAGAGGAAGAAGGATAAGAATTTTTGAACGGTCGACCCGTAGACTTCAATCTACTAAAATCAAGTTTCCTAACCTGAATTAAAAAAAGAGACAGAAGAGATTAATGATTTATAGAAGAAGAAGAAGAATCAAACGGATAAATTTAGGAGAGAAAGAGCTCACGGACCCAAAATCGTTCTCTCTATAATTTCTTTCGCAATGAGCTTATGAGACTTCGAGAAAGCTTTATATACTCTTCTATTATGACCCATTAAACTCTAACAATTAACTTATCACGTTATAATAAATGTTAAAATTTAAAACTGACATTACAAATTAAATATTAAATTTGTTTATTTAATCTAAAGAAAAAATAATTTTAAACAAGTTTGTTTAGAAATAAACAGTTATTTAAGAAATAAAGGAAAGTTATTTTTTTAAAAATTAAAAATTACTTATTTAAAAATAAAAAAAACACTTAAAAAAATAAAACACTTATTTTATTAAAAAAATATTTCTATAGTTTAAAAAAAATTGAATTCATTATAAAAAAACTAAAACTAAAGACTCATTTGTTTAAATATTTTTAAGAAGACATCTTATATTTGAAGAGAGTAAGTAATTTTTTAATGTATTTATTTAAAACTCTTATTTGAAAATATATATTTTTAAATTTTATCCTCTTTTAAAGAATAATTAAAAAAACATATTTTTATAATATTTTAAAAATTTACATAAACAAATTTTTAAAATATAATTTATCATTTTATATTTATTTTTTATTTTAATTACAATATTTAATATTGATATATCATTTTTTATTCTCATAAAATTAAATTATATTATGTAATATAAACATAAAAAGGTGATATTAAAAA